TAGCAGACGAGAAGACATAAGCTTCTGGACAATCAGTGGTAGCAAGCATTGCCGAAATTCAGTGTCCACTTAATTTCCTCCTGAATCAAATTTTGATTTGTTATTGTCGTTCCCATATATTTAAACTACGCCACATTGTCAAAGAATCCGTTATCTATCTTTATGACATGAATTTGCCCAGCATTCTGGCGACGAGACAGCAAAATATACATAGCTTCCTCTGCGTTTACTTATAGACATACGTCCTTGATAGTATGAATTAAAGTTCCAGTGTTTTCTTTAATGGTATCTATGTTTATCACCCAGTAGGTTCACATCATCAGCATAGGCCAACAGCTGATGTGTCCCATTTAATTTCATTCCCACCTGGTCTTCCTGGACTTTCCTATTGGCATTTTCTAAAACAAAGTTGAAAAGCAGTGGCGATAAAGCATCTCCTTGTTTAAGGTAATTCTAGAAAGGAAAATTATGATACAAATGTTTACCTATACGAACTGTACTGTACGAGTACATTTCGTTTAAACACATTTAATCAGCTTAACTTGTTTCATGGGTACCGGAAATTCTATGAGAATATTGTACAGTACTTCCCTACTAACTGAATCATAGGCTTCCTCGAAGTCCATGAATAGCTGATGTACTGTCTCATTGTACTCCCATTTTTTTCTCCAATACCTGACGAATGAAAAATTTTGATCAATACTTGATCTGTGACGTTGAAACCCACACTTATGATCCCCAATAATTTCATCTATATATGGACTTAACCTTGAGAGAAGGATATTAAATAAAATTTGATATGAAGTTGGTAGCAGTGATATCCCCCGATAATTACTACAGTCAGTTTTATCACCCTCCTTGTGAACTGGTACAATAATAGACGCCTTCCACTGATCATGCGCTTCTTCCTTATTCCAAATAGAATTAGTTAGCTATGGACGTTTCACCTCCTGCTTGAATGATTTCTGCCGGAATTGGTCACTACCTGGAGATTTGTACGTTTTCAACTTTGCAGTAGCAATTTGAACCTCAAAAGGACCAGAATCTGGTACTGACTGCTCAACTGTACGTATTTTCATCTGCCTAGCAACACTGACCTTATGTACATTCAGTAACAGAGACCTAGTTCCTCCACCTATTCAAAATGTTGTGCGGTTCTGCAAGCAGATCACCATTCTCATCCTTCATTAAGTTACTTCTAGGTTGGTAACCCCTCTTAAATTCATTTATTCCACTATAAAAAGGTAGTTTCCCCGTGCTTAACTTAATTAAGCACTATGCCATGAAGGCGTATGGGGGAGGCGATGTATAGATCCACATTTTTGCCTAGTTGGAGATGAGTGGTCAGCTTAATGCTTTGGCCGCATTACCCCCGCGGAAAGAACTCCCCTGTCCCCTTTGGATAGCTAGCTGGGTGAGATCAACAGTCGGTCTGGACGACGTGCAAAAGAAGAAATCCTGGACCATACAGCAACTCGAACTCCGACCCCTAGGTCGTCCAGCCCGTAGCCAGTCTCTCTACCCACTACGCTATCCCGGCTCCCCCTTATTCCTCTATACACGTCTCTGATCTTGTTCGATGCAAGCTCGTTAATTTTGTCTTTCAGATATTCCCTTTCTTTATTCATGAAGTGCCTGCTGGTTTCTTGTCATATTGTTCAAATTATCCCCATTTGTTTCACTTGGATGCTGTAACCATTGCAGTCTGGCTTGTTTCCTGTTATCTAATAATTCTGAGCATCCTTCGTCGAACCATGGCTTAATTTCTTCACTTCACAATAACCTAGACTCTCTTTGGCTGAAATGTTGATATCGTAATAGTTTCCCAAGCTCTATTAAGTATCACAACAAGAAATTCAATGCGATGACAGTGTTACATCACTCTGCATGTTCAGATACTTTTTATTTAGCAAGAACGAAACTAATATAAACATTGCAGTAAGGACTGAAGAAGAATTAGTGCTTGGATTAAGTGTATAGAGGAGCTAAGTTGTAATAGTTTGCGTAATAGTAACGTCACGTAGATGAACTAAACAAATTAGCCAAAAAAAAGTATATTTGCTTTAATCATTTAGTGTGATTGCCTGTGGGCAACCAATCACTAACACGGTATTCATCTACTTGCGTGTCGTTGCCTATCTCCATATTACAGCCGAGTAATTGAAGGATAAAGTGCGTCGTTCCATGAGCAGTGGTTATTGGCAGAACGGGTTTATTTAATGAATTTCCCAATTAAAGTCTTCGGTCGCTTATATTNTCTCCAATGATTCATTAACTCTAGCCGTCCGACTTCCCACCTCAGCAACCCTGGTTTGTGGTGGACAAAGTGGCACTGGGACAGGTTTCCTCTGACTACTTCAGCTGCTCCATATTTATCAGTCATCGTGTCATCGACGCTGTAGTATAATCTGGATACTGACAACACTGTTATGGCCGTCAGACCAAAAGCTGAGCTTTGAATTCTCGCGACGGCAAAAATGTTGTTCTACGCTTTACGGACAATTTTTTCTAGCGAAGTTGCATATTTCATCAAGATTTAATGAGGCAAGCCTTCTAGAACCCCATTTGCAGTGTCGACTGCCTCTGTGGTCTACTGGTCAGAGTTCCTGGCTACAGATCCAGAGGCCCTGGTTCGATTCCCGGAGCTACCAGATTTTCTGTGAAGTAGTGGGTCTGGAACGGGGTCCACTCAGCCTCTTGAGGATAACTGAGGAGCTATTTCAAGGAAATAGCAGCTCCGATCTAGAAAACTGAGATTAACGGCAGTGGGGATCCGTTGCGCTGACCACGTGACATCCTCTATACGCAAAAGTTGGCACTAACTTCGCAAACAAAGGCGGTCGCTCGGTCGGTATAGTTCGCTTGCGGACTGCAAGTCTCGGAATTTGTTTATTTGCAGTGTCACTCTCTCCTCACAAGTCCCTAGGCCGTCATGTTGGTGTTACTGATGGCTGGATATTAAAGGGTTAAAAAGTGAAGGGGCATTTAGTTGCATATGTCACGTGTATGAATGACTATAGGCGGGTTTGGATTGGTAATTGGATTTATTGACCACTTACAGATCGTAACTACAAGTAACTACAGCGCTCTTGTTAATTCACACACTCTGCAGTTCACTACAGCATGTACTAAGTTTTCTCAGTCTGCTGTGTCCTCACCAGCCGTGAGGTAACCGCCTCCAACGACGGACGTTCCCTTACTCTGGGTTCCCGAACTATCCCCGTGCCTCAGTTACTATATTCTTAACAGCAACAGCTCACAATGACTGAACCGCAGCAGTCTTATAACTAACTCAGTCACTCACCAATCAACTCGCTGCACTCTTCGGCACTGCACTGCACTGCACTAACTGCACTGAACTCGGTCAGTCTCGTTTCGGAGCAGACCACACAGAAAACACTGCTTCCAACATTACTTCCATTGTTGCTCGAGGGTCGCTACCTAGCAATGGCTGTTGTTTCTTCCGTTGTTTCGCTGTCGTTTCTCAGCAACGGGTCTGTATGCCACAATATTTTTATAACAGTTTTCATGAAAGTTTGTCAGTTGGTTTAAATTTATTAATGGGAATACTGACACACAGCCGTTACACCGCAAGTCTCTGTTCCCTTAAGAGTAAGGAAAGTACCCACGTAATTAACTTAAATTTTTCATAACAATGAACGGTGCTGGATATAAAAATTATTTTCTTTCTATTATCTTATTAGCAGGTATTTTCTTTGAGCGGCTACGCATGCTGTAGTGACTTCCTCATGTGATACTCCTTTCCGTTTATCTCATGCACTCAGACGTTAGAGGTATGGAAACGTGTTATGGCTACCCGGATTTCAGTATTTTATTATCTCATTACTTAAATAAAAGATTGCATAAGTGTTAACTTACGTGATAAAGTAGTTAGATTTGTACATAATCGTAATTTTTTATTACGTTGGTCGTCTTAACAGTCTAGGAACTGTCTGTAGCGATGTCCTTGAGAAGGCAGTAGGTGCTCAGGGCATTATGTACTCAGAAGATTCATTCTCGTCTTCCCAAAAACTCGCCACTGGTCCCTGTCCCGAGCCACATAAACAGTCCACGTTATTGTCTCCCGTTTAAGACACATTTCAGTGTTATCCTCTCATTTACTTCTGTCTTCCTTGTTTTTTTTTCCTTCAGCTTTTCATTCCATAAATTTCAATGTCCGTCTCTCTTCTTCCGTGCTTGTTATGTGCCTGCCCATCTCAACCTCTTTGATTTTTTCGTCTTAATAACGTCTGATGAGGAGCGGGCATTATCAATCTTTGTATTATATAATTTCCACCATCGTCATGTTATTCCATCCCTCTTAGACTCTGTTCTCAAACACTGTCTATGTTGTTCCCATAATATAAGCTTCAAACCGACACAGAATTACAGGCAAATTCATAGATTTTATGTTATAATCTTTATGTTTTTACGTAGCAGACGATAAGATAGAAGATTCTGAACTGAGTGGTAGGAAACTCTACTCGAATTTAATCTGCTGTTAGTTTCTTCATGAGCGCTGTTTAGATTTGATTAGCAAGTATTTGAACTGTGACACATTTTCAAGGGATCTCTTATGTATGTTTATATTATGATTTTTCCTGAATTCCTATGACGAGATGTTAACATATACTTCGATTTTTCTATGTTTACTTATGTTATCCCCCCATTAAAAACATCCTAAGCATAGATAAGAAGCGGTTTTTCTTTCCAGCTCGGTTTCAATTCCACGTAGTTTTCTTTGACCTTTCGAACATAAATTTACTGAGTGTTAGTAAATTACTGATTACCATGAAGCATTGATCTGAGTTTGTTTATTTTCTGTAAAGGTGAAAAACATTTTAAGTTGGCTGATTTTATTAGCAGTTATAGAATTTATGTAAATATTTATTACCCTTCTTGGAAACGAGGTGGGGAAAACCTTCATAAATATGAACAAAGAGTATTTGCGACAAACCAATATAAGACTGACGTGATCCTTTTGTAAATATTTCTTTGCATAGCAAACGTGCGAAGGAAATATAGTAATAGCAAGAATTGGGCAACTACGTCAATGCCTTAAAAAGTGCTGCGACCATGTCTCTTTTCTTGCGAGGCTCTGGTACATTCGACCTCAAGTCGGAGTAGGATTGGTGGTACGACTGCTTCGAAGTTCGTAGGAAGAGTCTACGTATAATGAAGAATCCGCTCATTATTTTTTGGTAAGTGATTGCTGTCGTGAGATATTTATTATGACGTAAAATTACTTTTCTTGTTCTAAAACACAAGTTCATTAAGTAGAATAATTGTGAGATTTTTACAGCGTTGAGAAGTAAGGTGGTAATCACCTATAGAAATAGACAGTGTCCTTACTTTGAAGACCACAGTCGTAATAGATCAGAAGTTCACCACAAGGAAAATGTTTTATTATAGAGCACGATACATCGTCATGTCTTAATTTAAATCGATCAAAGAAGAATATTTTGATATTTATATTCAGATTGCTTCGTAGTTGATACTGATCAACGGGGCCCCTATTCCAGATTTTGATTCTGAGTTAGTGAAGTAATTTCGAAATCCTATCCGAAGCGAGAATATTGCTTCCAGTACAGAATTAAACATCTTGGTGAGGAAAGTGTTTGGATCAAATTGCTGCATGACTTAGATGCCTCCTCTAATCCTTTCCTTTAGCCCTCTTCATGCAGCTTGAGCCTTCCACCTGGAGAAGCTGATATTTTCTTGGGCAATTAGGAATCCCCCCCTACAAAATCCTAAGTTTCACAAAGACCCACCATTTTTGTCCACTCCACATTCCCTTCCTCTATGGCTTTATAGCCCTTTGAACCTTGGCCACTTTTCAGTTTCTTAATCCTATACACAATCGGTAGGACTCCTTGGATGAGTGATCAGCCCATCGCAAGGCCGCTACCTACACACATGACAAAACAAACACAGAATAAACGCACACAGACATCCATGCCTCAAGTGGGATCCGAACCCACGAACCTAGTGTTCGAGCGAGCGAGGACGGTTCATACATTAGACCGCACGGCCACTGTGACCGGCCTCCAGTCCACATACACACACCATATTTAAGACTCGATTTAACGGTAGCCTCTCATCTGCTCATACATCTTCCTAAATAGTCTCTTCCCTTCAGAATTTCCGACTACAGGTTCGTAAGCATGTATCATATCCCTCATAAAACAAAAACAACAAAACAAATTCCATGCTTTAGTCCGCAAGTGAACTATACCGACCGAGCGACCGCCGCTTGTAGGCGAAGTAGTGCCAACTTTAGCGGATAAAGAATGTCGCGTAGTCAGCGCAACGAATCCGCACGGCCGTTAATTCTCAGTTTTCTTGACCGGAGCCGCTACTTTTCCATTTAAGTAGCTCCTCAATTACCCTCACGAGACTGAGTGGACCTCTTTCCAGACCCACTACTACTTAGAAAATCTGGTAGGGTCGGGAATCGAACCCGAGATCTGTAACTAGGAACTCTTGACCAGTAGACCACAGAGGCGGTTTCATATCCCTCATAAGTGCTGCAATTCCACCTATCCTTTCCTTCTTGATTTGATCATCCAAATAATATTTACATGAAACGCCCCGTTACATCACTTTCTCCATCCTCCTGTCACTTCCCCCCTCTTAGGACCAAATATTCTCCGGAGGATTCTGTTCTACATTCTTTCTTCATAATAACCTTCTGGCATTCCTTCCTACTTAATCTGGACAGGTGAATGTTTCTGTTAAGTAACCAACGAAATCAACTGATTACGCGTAAGTCTTACTCAGTTCTTGATAGATTTAGCTTGATAATTTCATATTTACTTCAGTTTTATCTCGGCTAAAATATATTTAAATCGATGCTAATTCTTACCAAATGGATGCAATGAATTACAGTAAATGGCCGCGCCATAGCTCAAGCGGTTAGTCGCTGGCTTCCCACGGCTGCTGCCCGGGTTCGATCCCAGGTCTGGTCAAGTGGGATTTGTGGTGGACAAAGTGGCGCTGGTGCGGGATTTCTCCGAATACTTATGTTTTCCCTGCCAATCTTCATTCCACCAAATTCTCCATCATTATAATCACCTGGGGCAAGGCCAATCAGTGGCCGCCGTGCCAAGTGGACCCAGGTAGACTCCACTATCCACTAAGCGAATTTTTAAATTACAGTAAACATACGTTCAACAATACTATATAAGTATAGACTTGTTTCTTGTTTTGTAATGAGCGTCAAGCACACTCACCTAGACCTACCTACCGAGTAGATACTGAGAGAGCTTACAATGACCTCCATCTTAGCTTTGTTTGAAGAACGAAATGAACATAGGCCTCTTTTTGTTTTACAAACAACCCCACAAGGCCAGTTTAGGTGTACACTGTGTCTAAAAATGTTCTTGTGGGCGTGTCACCATCACATAGTGAGGTGAACCGTTAGGTCATCATTAGAAAGTTCTGCGTTCCTCTCTGCAAACATTCCATGAGAATCAAAGTTGCTATACTGAACAAATCATCGAACAGACAGGACGTTTCACCCGGCAGGTTGCATACTCAGGGCTTTGCCTACCCTCATAGATACTGAAGACGAAAAATACAAAATCCCAGTGCTCAAAACGGATTTGGCATCGGTGTGCGAGTGAACGTTCTCTATAATCTGTGATATTTATTAGTGTGTGATTTTGGAATAAAGAGGTAAGTATTAACATTTCAGTTATTTCAGAGCCTCCAGCAAATATTTCGGATAGTACAGGAGGAGAGAGACGAACTCCGAAGGCCTCAAAACTGTCCGCGCTTTTTCTGAACCGTAGAGCCATCGACAAGCCCATAAGCCAACAAGTAGCAAAGAAAACATCCCCATCATGTCAGGTGCCGGAAGAGGTCCCTGTTGTTACACGTGGATTCCTTACGTCTCCTCAGATATTCAGATTCACGCGCTGAAGTTCCTTGTAGGAAAGAGAGCAAATTTTAAACTCGAAATTTTAAATCCTGATTTCCTCTGAAAGTAGTGAAAGGAATTTTCATAGGGAATATTCAAGCCTAGCTTCAATTTCATGCAGTCTCTCTTCGTTGAGCAATCGAAGTTTTGACCCTATTCTTCTTTGCCCAATAACGACACTGTTGGTCTAAATCTGTTTATAGTTATATGATTTCCCCCCCCCCCCAATTTAGACCTGTATCATACTGAACGGTATATAAGGATATTCACTTACTTTCCTCATACGACCACTTAAGGCTCACAACCTCACCGCCATTAATGAGCGAACTGTCTAGAAGATGTGGGAGCCTCGACCTCTCACACCCCTTTGAGCCTTCACGGCCCGTTACATGGACAACCTTCCCTTTTTTACCTTTTACCATTATATAAGATAAGAGTAAAAGATTATAATGCAGAAAGTGCTCATAATACTTTAATAAACTTAACACAGAGGTAGAAAATACATAGGAATTTGTGGAGGAACAGCTCCATGTGTCAACCTGACCCCCCCCCTTGGCGTTCATGCATTAGGGATAAAGCGATAGAACGCAGCAAGTTTTTGCCAGGCACTCTTCAATATTTCTCTAGTCATTTCTCTGAGTTTATCCGAAACCATGTCCTTCAGTTATTCAATGCCTGTCGTTGTTTGTCGTACACACGGGTTTTGATGAAGCCCAGAACAAAGAAATAAGGTGGGGACAGGTCTGTTGGAAGCCAAGCGATTAATTGTTACTGGAAGATCGGTTTGAAAGGGAACGCGCCGCAAATGATTATTTCCTTGTCAAAGGAAAGAGGCATGTACAATCTGTTTCGTGTAATTACACGTAAAACTTTCTTTCTCTGACTTTCCATTTCCCCCTAAAACACAGATCAGAGGATCTGACCCTCCCGGATACATAGAACTTCGGATCACAATAAGTTATTATCTATTGCGAAAATGTTCGTCTGTATTCATCCATTCACACGTCAAAGTTGCGAATTCAAAGTGACATGCTTACTTCTGCAACTGAAAGGTCTGCTGATGCTGGATGCCATATGAAAATACGAGAGCTATCAGGTACTGGCATGCGAGAGGTTGGCAGGTGGTATAAGATCCATTTGTTTCCAACGAAGAACGCCTTAAAGGTTTCCAAGGTCATGACGGCATAGCTTGTCGAACTTGGACTTCATTTCAGAAATTCGGGTGGTGTTCTGTTTGAATCTCGTTCGGGACACCGACTATTCTGACTGAGGTTTCTCGTGGCTTTCGTGTCCTTCCAAGCAAATCCCTAGATAATACCTCGACTCTACCATGACTACTTCCTTCCAAATTCTTCACAATTCATCATTCATCTATCATCCTACCGTCCGACGCTTTGCAGTCTGAAAACTGAAAAGGCGTCCTTAAGTAACCCACGAAAAGAACACCGATACATGCTTGAATACTTTGAGGTTAGTGTCCTATTTAAGAAATGTTTGTTCTTGTAATTTAAAAGAATGTTATACTCATAACACTCTTTATATTTGGTCTTCCGAGCGAAGAATGATTAAATTGTTTTTACGTGGCATTTTTTTTTTCGAAATATCGGGTCAATAACGAAAATAATGAAATTTATAAATTTTTACAAAACCGAAAGTTTATGTTGCGAATTTTTAGTCCTCAATTTCAAATTATGCATATTTCTGATTTCTTGGGAAAGCAGCATGTTGAACTTGGGGGGGGGGGACTCTAAGCATGTTCCTACCATTCTGCTCGAACAGAAATCTGTAGTATTTCAGATAAGAATCTGGATTCGGTTTAGGAATCCAAGAAAAGCAAAAGAAAGTGTAAATATCAAATAAATACATTTTTATCTGTAGGTTCTGAAATCTTTCTTTTTATATGATGGCTGCCAATTATCGGTAAATGAACACATAAGGAAGTGTACCAACAAAATATTTATCTCATTCATACATATTGGTGACAATTTTTCCCGTGTGATGGATAGCAAATATTGACTGATTTATTGCCGAAAGGCGAAGTGTCTTAATCATGCAGTTATTGCTGATTCAAATGTTTCAACAAATTTGCTGAGTTTACACAATCTTCACGCTTAACATGCTTGTCAGGGTAACAGGCAGTCACAAAATGTTCTAAACTAACACAACAGTTTCTTCATTATATGTGGTTCTAGTGGCAGTGATTGTGATAAGTAGTATCCTCTGGGAAGCGACGCCCTATAATCTGGCAGAAAACCACCGACGTTTTGGAGGGAAACACTTCCACCATCTTCAGAGTCAAATAGTAAGTCCAGCAAGCAAATAAACTGCTCATAAACTCTGTTTACTTCTTCTTTATTTCCTTGCTGGACTTCTTCTTCGAACTAAAGTTTCCTGACGGTCCTTCGAAATGTCAGCAAACTTCTACGAGACTACAAGCTGTCAATCCTAGAGGACATTAGAATATTCTTTATTTCTTGTACGATGAAGAACTTAAAATAATGACTTTCGGTTTGAACTTAATCTGAAATTAGGGGTGGAAGGAATGAATGTAAAATCCTTTCCACAATATGTAGACCTACAGTGCAACACAGAATTGAAACCAGTTAATGATTGGAGAGTTGGAAGGTGCGGATATGTATTATCTTCCTTACAATTGCTCTATTTTTTGTACTGAGTAACACGAAGGGACAAATTCACAAGACACGATTTCTGCCCGTGTTTGCCATTGGACAGTTCGTGTTTCATGAGTGACTCATCTTCATCATCATCATTATCTGGAAAACATGTGAGGAAAAACACTACCAAGAACTGATCGACGTACTTATTTCCGCTTGTATTTCGTATGTCAATATTAACGAATAACTAGGTAATTAAATATTGTCAAGTTACATCAGAATTTGGCCGAGCCATAGCTCAAGCGGTTAATCGGTGGCTTCCTACCGCGGCGGCCTGGGTTCGATCCCGGGTCTGGTCAAGTGGGTTTTGTGGTGGACAAAGTGGCGCTGGGGCCGGTTTTTTTCCTAGTACTTCAGTTTCCCCTGGCAATCTTCATTCCACCAAATTCTCCATCATCATAATCACCCGGGGCAGGTACAATAGGCCAATCAGTGGCCGCCGTGCCGAGTGGACCCAGTTGGACTCCACCACCCACTAAGCGAATTAAAAATTTAAATATTTTACATCAGAATTTAAATTCGTCAGAGTATTGCGGCTGTCGCTGCCATACTGGCAACTGATCAAGCTGTCTTCTTATCAAAAGTTTCTTCCAGTTCATAATTTTCATGTAACCGCTGAGGAATATGATTCTTTTGATAAACGCAAAAGAGTTTATGGAAATATCGATTAGTTTAATTGATCACACCTGTAATAGTCGATTATTTTCTCTCAGAGTATTATCAGTTTGAAAGCAGGTCACTTCTAAATACGTGTTACGAATTTTTTATAATACACGTAGTAGTTCCTGAACATGTTTATCTTACGCCTTCTGAAGATGGTCTGCTGACCGAAACATGAAAAGGAAATAAATATCTACAAACTGAATCACTCTAGAGGGTGTTAATAATTTATATTTTAATGTAATTTCTTTATAGATTATATAAGAACAGCATCACTTCTACATGAAATATATTTTTTTTTCATTCTTTGTTTGATGGTGATAACTAATGAATCATTAGAGCTAGACATTTGAAATTTTCTGGAGATAGAACATTAGAATACATATAAATTACATTTGGAATGTTGGAACGAAGGTCAACAATTACAAACTTGGCGACAGTGGAAATTTTGGGGCTATATCCCACAAATTTAAGGTATATAACAATGCTACTATTACTACTAATACTATGTAATATTACCAGCAATGTATAACATCACAATCATATTCGGGCATGGTCCTAATTCCGAAGCAACCGAAGTTTCGGAGGAGCAGTCTTCAGGTTTGTAGAGTAAGCCAATTCAGAAATGGAGATGAAGAGAATCCGCTCCTCCGAAATGCTACTGCACTTTCATTGGAATACACGGATCCCAAAAGGCAGAATATTTTATAGCCACCGCTGTCAGAACCTCAAATCCAAGAATAATGTTACCGTTTGTTTTGTATCGTGGTCGATAGTAGTCTCTTATTACGTGGAAAAAAACGCAAACTTATAACACGTGAAAACAAAATGCCGAGGAAAATATTATTAGCTGGTGGAACTTGCAGGATATTGCACAACAAGAAATTTCGTAATTAAGTGTAGTTTATTGCGCAATGTTTGTCCGTCTTTGTGGTCTAGTGGTCAGCGTTCCTGGCTACAGATCCAGAGGCCCTCGTTCGATTCCCGGCTCTACCAGATTACTTTCTGAGAAGTAGTGGGTCTGGAACGGGGTTCACTCAGCCTCGTGATGATAATTGAGGAACTATTTCAAGGCAATAGCGGCACCGGTCTAGAAAACCGAAATTAACGGCCGTGGGGATTCGTTGCGCTGACCACGCGACACCCTCTATCCGCAAAAGTTGGCACTAAACTTCACCGACAAGCGAAGGTCACTCGGTCGGTATAGTTCGCTTGCGGACTAAAATCACGGAGCTTTTTAACGGAATGTTTTGGGGACAATGAAATGAACAAAGATGCAATAAGCTCAGATGTAGATAGTTAGAAATACGTACATACAGAATTTAATGGGGAAACTTTCTGACAAGAGAGCACTTGGTAAAGAGAGAAGGTGTTGAAAAAAGGCCGCGCCATAGCTCAAGCGGTTAGTCGCTGGCTTCCCACCGCGGCGGCCCGGTTTCGATCCCGGGTCTGGTCAAGTGGGTTTTGTGGTGGACAAAGTGGCGCTGGGGCAGGTTTTTTTTAGTACTTCGGTTTCCCCTGCCAATCTTCATTCCACCAAATTCTCCATCATCATAATCGCCAGGGGGCAGGTACAATGGGCCAATCAGTGGCCGCCGTGCCGAGTGGACCCAGCTTGAATCCACCCCAACTAAGCGAATTTAAAAAAGGAAAAGATGTGGGAAAGATCTTAAGGATCTATTTTGCGTAGATTTGAGTCGACTTAGAATAGGTTCCAATTCGATACATATTTCTAAAAAAAATATTCAGTGCAGGATTTTCTCTAGAGAAAATGTGGGAGCCTCGACATCTCATAACCCTATGGGCCTTCACGGCCTGTTACAAGGACAGCTTTACTTTAAGGTGTCAAGAATGCAAGAGTTTTATATTATGTCTTTCTACGCTAATACAAAAAAAAATACCATAAGAGAAAGTATACCACCTCCAGCCTGCTATCCGTCTAGTTATGATGTTTTTCAATGTCGAAACTTGTCGAACTTTGAAAAACAAATATGATAGAAAAATTCAGAATGGAACTTAATTAATTTTTATTCTATCTGATAATTAGGATTAACCCATGTCCTGAAAAAATAAATAAACTGCATAATATTTTATGTTACCATGGCGTTGAATATTAAGACTATACAGTCTTCAACGATGTGTCGACGTGTAGTCTGGTAATAAGCAGAAACGTTTCAGAGAAATCTGCTGCCTCCAATTTCATGGAAAAAATGGAGTCACCTGATTCCTCTGCAACTTTGTTATTATATACAGGATTACACAGCGTCACATCATAAAAGGCTGTGTTATTAGGTAGGCCGCACACCGGAATGCGTCAAGACATGTAACAATCAAGACACGATGTCTGCGAAATGACTCAAACAAAGGAGAACAGTTGAAACGGATGAGATTATGAAAACCGCCGCACACCGGTCTGAGTCATGATGCTGACGTCAGCTTCATGCTGACGAATCACGAATGAAGCAAGACTGTGTCTTTTGTCTCATGTCTTGATGTTTGTCTTGACGCAGTTGGTGTGCGGCCGCCCTTAAACAGACACTCTTATTCGTCTCAGTCAGTAGCTTCAGAAATTTCACGCCCGCTCCAGAGTGTATTTAGCAAAAGTTACCCGTGATAATAGGTTAAATAATTTTTTATTCTGTATAAACAAATTCGTACTGAAAATGAGAGAAGAATATATTCAGTCGTGCTCTTACTTACTCCCTGCTGGTTATTAACCGTCTTACTCGTACATGTAACGTGCTTTTTAAAACCTTTTAAAAGTTTTGGACTTTAAAATCTCCGGTGCGTGCACTCTACATATTTCGACCAACATTAGTCATCTTCAGGTGTTACAGCAGTGACTATTAACAGTACTATTTATGGGACATAATGCCATGCAGTCCGGTAAAATTCTACCGACGTTTCTCTACTACACTACTACAAATTTTGAATTTCTGTTATCGGTTAGCACACATAAATTCCAACAATTCTCATGATTCTCTACAATTTAAATTCGGATAAATCTCTAAAAAGAAAAGACAAACTATGATATATAACTTTATAGGTAGGTATTTTCAGGTTTTCACTGCTTTTAATGCTGAAGCTGATCCTATGTTTTGGGTACCATCACAGTGTAAAAGTGGGCTATGTTGCCAATATTACGGAGACGCTCGCTTCTCCCTCTATCGCTTCAAGGAGGAAACAGCATGTATCTCGGGAACTTTGGCAACATGGCTGACTTGTCATACACGTTAAAAGCAACCAATAACCGCATCCTCGTCAGTTGTGATATTTCTAATTTTATGCATTTTTTCCCCTTCACAGTTGATGTTACTGAGTTATTAATAGGATACGCCAAAAAATTGACTGAAACAGAATAAATTAAAGAGGCTATCGGTAAAAATGGCGCATATGGATACAGTCTGTAACGGTGGAGGTTATGCAACCCTAAGGAAGCTACCGGATGCAATGCTTGTGATGACTCCAGAGGCCCATGCTTCAGAGACGAACTGCAGAGAGAGGAAACGGGGGAATGAAACAAAAGGCACGTTGCTCTGCAACGGGTATTCTCAACTGACGTCAGAAGTGCGTGCTCCTCTATCAAGTGTGGAGAGTCCTTCTGTTCCTATCGACAGAAGTAAGTGTGCATTGTGAACTATAATATTCCAGGAATATCATTTGATTTCGATACATCAATATAATATGCTATCGAAGAAAAATTCGATTCCTATGTGAGGTATCGATATTTTATAGTATTTCTTGACAGGTACTTCTTTCGAGATACTGAAGTGAACTATATTTCCGGCCATTGCAGAAACTTTGGGAACTATTTCAGTTGGTTAAATGGTAGGAATATATGAATTTGTAGTGCAAATAAAGGCAATATACTAAATAAGTGAGGGGTTTAAAAACTTTATAGACAAATAAAACAATCGATATGGATACCATTTCGTACAAATTGATATCCTTACAATATATACACCTTTCTATTACAAAATGGCTGGCTATTTTCTGTCCCGAGAAGGGGAACTTGGATTATTTTCTTCTCTACCACATGAAAATTAATATAGAAAAACATCTAATCCGATGAAAATATCTGATATCGATACGAAATTCCGTATCGATTGAAATCCCGATTAACGAGCTAACACATTTCACTTTCTAGGAAAGAATTCGGCCGCTGACTTAACCGATTTTCTTGAACAATATTGAGTTTTAAATTCACTACCCAGATATGTCTGAGTTTTATTGTTACTAGAGAGATATACTTGTTTCGTTTGCAAGGCACCGCGATCCTGGAATTCTATCGGGATGCCAACGTGCTGATCACTGGTGGGACTGGCTTCATGGGCAAAGTGCTGATGGAGAAACTGCTCCGGTCCTGCCCACATCTCAGAAACATTTACCTGCTGGTCCGTAAGAAGAAAGGGAAAGACGTGGATACCAGAATTCAGGAGGTCTTCGAGGACCCGGTTAGTGGAAACTGGTTATTTAATGTCTGATCTTCGGAAATGCGCCATCAAACAGCACGTTAATTTGTGCCACTGGCTTAACCGTTCTCCGGAAACGTGCTGCAAGCAGAATGCTGTTGGATCCGACTTCGTTTGGAGATATCTCGCGTCTGATATTAAGGATGGAGGCCTGAAAGACTGAAGTACTTTATGTCCCTCTTAAATTCCACAATCCCTCACTCACTCACTCACTCACTCATGGAGCTGAGCCCTTCTTGAGAAGCTGCCAATTGTGCAGCTATTCAAGAACTTCCCAGCATCTTATGGAACCCGAAGATTCATTACCGCGTTCACAAGACCCCTTCAGCGGTCCCTATCCTGAGCCAGATCAATCCAATCCATCTCATCCTATGTCTCTAATATCCATTTTAATATTGTCCACCCACCTACGCCTTGGTCGTCCCAGGGATCTCCTTCCTTCCGGCTTTCCCATCAATATCCTATATGCATTTCTTTTCAATTTTAACTGAGATTACAAATTATTAAAAAAGAACAGCTACTATTGTCGTAATTTCCACAGGTAATGGTGCCCAGTTACTCAATTGATTTAAGTCAAACGAGATGCAGTAGACGCTTAATTGTATCTAAGAATTTTAATTTTGTTCGAGTTGCGTTTAATTTAAATGACACTTTTCTTAACGGCATAAATCATTTTATACGTATATGGGCCTCTCTTGTAACAGTCCGGTCAACTGTTCCTGCAGAGAACAGAGTTGAACTCCGGTCAAGATACTTGCAACATTCTTCGAGACCCGATTTGTAACTAGCGGAGCAAGTGCAAGTAATACCCACGATGGTTCCATTGCAGTAGCTGAGGATTACGAAACGCGTGTGATGTCACCTCGTGTTCTTCCCGTGATAGGAAGGATAAAGAGTCCTGTTAAGAACTATGGGTCTGCTGTTCAGTCAGTCAGTGTTCTCATTCTCCGTGGTAGTCCCTGTGATACAAGCAGCATCAGATATATTGTGACGTGTTGGGATGGCTTCTGAAGGGTCCGGGTCACCTGCTTATCTGCAAATTTCTTTTACTCAGACCGCCGAAGGAGAGGCTTGGCCCCAGTGCAGCAGACTTAGTTTGGCTGGCCTTAGCAGCGCGCTGAGTAATTATACAACAAAGAAATCTCGTGTCTCATGATTCAATAGATTGTGTTTCTGAATGTTTGCTGTGACTTTGTATGTGCAGGCTAAATAGGTCTTCGGTGTCCTCGGACATGTTTTTATTGAAACAACCTTAACGTCTCTCTTTCCAACTACTCTGCCCTACGTGGTCTGACAATAAAGTCCCCGAAGTCATAGCGATAAAAGTGCTACATACCTCACTGCTGAATATCACGGTGGTCACCTTCAAAGTACTCCAGCTGAGAAGCTATGCACCGATGCCAGCCCTTAGTCAACCCTTCAAAACAATTTTAGAGCTGGTTTTGTGGAAGGCCTTCAGAGTTGCCGTCGTATTACTCCTGATGTCATCAATGTCATCAAAATGCCTTCTTTTCAATATTAACCTTTATATTCGGGAACGGGGAAAGGTCACTTGGGGCTAGATCCGGTGAATAGCGAGGGTGTTCCAGCACAATTATTTGTTTACTAGCTAAGAACTCCCTCACAAAGTGCCGTGTGAGCAGGTTCATTATCGTGATGAAAGACACCAAAACACACTCAGACAATAATAGACGCCAATCAGAAATAGACTGCCATAGATCAACAACAACACAGCTGTGAAATGCCGATATGCCAGTGTCATAAAGCCATACTGAGGTTTGTGTCCACTGCTGCCACGGCAAACACACGGTGGCGAGTCCGCGAACTTTATTGTCAGACCTCGTATGTTCGTGCAATGTACATACCTTGTTAAGCGAACCGTTTTATTTGTGTTTAGTCCACACTCTTCGTCCTTCTACACAGTCTCCTATATTGACAGTAGGTCTAGCGCTGATTAGTGTTTCCAACCTGTTTGTAGTGTACTTATATATAAGTTTAAATAATAAGGTGAATATACACTTCCAATTATGAACACAAGAATAGATCCCGAAACAACATTTGCCAGAACACGATATTTTCCGGTAACTTCGGCCACTTTCGAGCACACGGCACTTATTTTCGAACACAGAATCACAAGCAATGACTACGAATTGTTGCAGCTATTCGAGAGGCTGAAAGCTGAACAGCATGGCTTCAGAGAAAAGGTCCTTATTATAGAAGGGGACTGCTCAGAGCCGGGTCTGGGTTTGAGTCCCGGTGACAGACAGAGAATCGTGGAACACATTGACGTCGTGTTCCATGTAGCAGCGACTGTTCGGTTTGACGAGAAGCTGCCGGTTGCCGTGGCTATCAATGTGGCGGGCACTCGGGAGTTGCTGCTGCTCTGTTACGACTGTCCCAAAATTAAGGTCAGTGAACTGGGTAGAAATCTGTGAATCAGAATATGTTAACTGTCCTTGTTTTTGTTTTTTTATATATTCAAGTTTATGCTTCGAACAAATGACTACACCATAGGAAATAAAGAAAGGTACAAATAAAGTTATAATTTTAAGCTCCCCTTTCAACGTAAAAATTGCCCTTTGTGTGGCGGTTAAGCCTGTCTATACACTGTGTCTATATACTTTGTATGTCTGTCGGTCTAGCTCTGACTTCGTATCAGGGGATAAACCGTTGGACAGAGTTCCATACATTTCAGTATGTGAGACCTTTGTTTCAAGTTATTGGACCATTTCTATTTGCAACTATAGTGGTGCATATTAAAGTCAAATTTAGGTTAGACAATAAATGAAAGTAAAAAATAAAAGTAAACGTATCCCTGTAACAGACCGTGGAGGCCCATGGGGTTGTGAGACGTCGAGGCTCCCACATTTTCTAGACAATCGGCTCATAGATGGTCGTAAGTTTGTCAGCCTTACGTGCCGGCCGCCCTTTACCCCCAAGAATATACCTGATACTCATTTATGTTAGAGGCTGAGTCGACCCCAGGGCTATAGTGCGGCTGGAAAGATTAGGTAAATTGAAAAAATCTACCTCATCGGGATTCGATTCCGCCACCTTCCGGATTGTAGCATAGTGCCTCGGACATCTCAATTTCATAAAGACTAACAGACTTTCTTAATTCCATATTTATCAAAGTTATTAGGTAATTCCGATTTTGAACCATATTAATTTATAATGAAGCCCAGTTTGCATATAATCACAAGATGACTCTCTATGTATTCTACAGACTTTTCCACAGATTCTGTTGAAGTTCAGTAGAGGCAGGGCTTGAGGTGGGGCGGGATGCGGCGGGATGGCATCCCGGTTCTTTTCTAAATGGCTTAAAAGCATCCCGTTACTTCTTTGTCAGTAAATGCAATGTACAATACCTTTTTTGTTAAAAGGGGAAAACCATCCTGGTTCTATTTTCATTCCACCTCAAGCACTGAGTAAAGGAGAATTTCGCCAATTTGTAAATTATCACTCCCATTTTAAGTAAATTAATAATTCTGTAGACTACATTATGGAATACACATTTTTCTAATCTTGTTTCATTATAATTTATTCTGGCTGGATTTTAATGTATGTAATTCTCTGTATCGTGGCCCTATCCACGCTTCTCTCTAGGCGGTGGTTCATGTATCTACTGCATACTCCCACTGCAACCTCTCGGACATCGACGAAGAGTTTTACGATCCTCCAATCACAGGGGACAGAATTATCAGCGTGGTCGAGAGTCTGGATGAGGACACTCTCACTACCATCACCCCCATGTGAGTTGGGTGCACACTGAACTTTGGGTCGGCATTTCCTTTTTTACTCCGGTTCTAATACTCAGATACTATAAGCATTCACGGAATTACGGAGGAAGCAAATGGTTGACTTGTGTCGACCTGTCTCAGAATGTCTTAAGGTGACAGGATACCAAATCCTATTTTGTAAAATTAAATGTGGGTGTGCAAGGGTCCATAAACTGTGCGTTTATACGCATATTACTCGTCATGTTTATCTTATGAAAAAACGAAGCGTACGAAGAAAAAATACAACTAAGTTACAAGTACTGAGTCGGAAACAATTTGAAAACAGAGCATAGATAACTCAGTCGGTATAACTACTAGGAAACAGGCTGGAGGACCGAGAAATCGACATTCGATTCCCGTCAAGTGCAAGATATTTGTTTCTACTACATAACGTCCTAACGGGGTCTGGGGCCCATCCAGTCTCCTATCCAAAGGATACTGGGGGCTGTTTCCCTGGGGTTAAAGCGGCCGAGCCGTGAAGCCGACCACTCGAACTTCATCCAGTGCAGAGATCAAGAATGGTGAAGCTGTATCGCCAATCCCTCGTACATATTAGTGGTGTAGTGCTCAGTTAAATTAATTATTTTAACCTTCTTTTTTTGCTCTTACAATATAATAATAATTATAACATGTCCTGATATAAAAGAGTTTATTTCGTCTATGTTTACTACTAAAGTAAAACGTAAAACTATCCCTGTAACAGGCCGTGGAGGCCCATAAGGCTGTGAAATGTTGAGGTTCCAACATTTTCTAGAGAATCGGCTAATAGATGGCGGCAAGGTTGTCAGCCCTACGCGCCGGCCGTCCTTTACCTCCAAGAATATTCAAAGAACATTCCTGGTACTCATTTCTGTTAGAGGCTGTGTCGACCCCAGGGCCATAGTGCGGCTGGAAGGATTTGATCAATTGAAAAAAATCCAATGACCTCATCGGGACTTGAACCCGCGACCTTCCGGCTTGTAGTATAGTGCCCGAACATACCGCGTATGTATATTCCCGGCGGCAAGTGTCTGTTCACACGGACATTGCAACAACGTACACCTGTATTTTATCATAAAATCCGGAAATATGCTGATAAAGAAAATAATTATGAAATTGTTATTTTCCGCGCGTCTAAATAAACTTCTTTATTTTCGTTTAAGCCTTTTGATATTATAAAGAACGGTTATGTACGAATTGCTTGACGATGTGTAGTAGTGTAGTTGCATTTATGTTCCTGCCAAGCTGAGACAAGCTCCTGATTCGTATTCTGAAGGCTGGCACCGATCTCTTCCAACCCGCCTCTGTAGGATCAGCTTGGTCGGAATGGTGCTATCCCTACTACACTTATTTCTACCTTCAGATGGTTTGACGTATCGATAAGGTGTAATTATTTAGGCTGGGGGCCACTACAAGTTGTCCTTACAGAACTAACTAATGAAGGTATGGAGACTAGCTATTAACGCTTTTCCGTTATATTGAATTGAGTTCTGAAAATGTAGACCCTTTTCTTCTGTTTAGTTTATATATATTCAACATAACCTTAAAAACTAAAATCTGACCTACGCACAGAATAGGCTACAAGGCTTTGTCTGACGAACAACCATAAAGGCGTCAACCAAAGAAGTCTTTACTAACAATTTTTCTAGAAGGAATCGAGTCAAAACGTAAAGCCTTCTAAGAGCATTGTTCCCATTTGTAACAAGGCACAATAAATAGATTTTCTGATACGCGTCTTAACGCCTTGGAAATATGTTTCTGAGTTATAGTAATGCATATTCATGTCCTAGGTTGCTGCGTGCTTGGCCGAACACATACGCCTATACAAAAGCAATCGCAGAGGACACGGTGAGGACCGTTGGCAAGGATCTCCCCATCGGAGTGTTCAGACCTTCCATCAGTAAGTAGCACGTCTTGTAATCGCGTCTGGAACAGTTATCATTGTCACACAACGAAGATGCTGGTTACTGCAGTGTGCAGGACAGTTTTACTTCATTTTCTGTGGATACGGAGAACGGGGAAAGCTATTTGGATCTAAGACACAACAAGAAATCCACAGGGAGAAGCTTCATGGACTTGTTCTCTTCAAAGCGTTTTAGGGAGATTATTTAGAGAAAGAAGTGCTTTGAAGTGGAGATTTGGCATGAAAGAGGAAGAGAAGACACATATAAAATATTCTGAATTGAAATGATCATTGAAAGCCGTCCTGCAGTATATGACAGTTTATCAGACATTCGAGCTATTGCATGTTATTATGGTCTCTTGGATCTCGTCACCAGAAGATCTGATCATTTTGCTCTACCCTGAGTTGTTCTATTATCGGCATACGAAATATCGGCATGGACTTGTTGCTTATCCTGCTTGAACTACAGTATATTCCAGACCATTGTAATCTCCATGATGAAACTACTTTAAAGATTTGCGAACATGTTTGCTGGATTTTACGACTGTAAAATTTCTGTAAATGATCAATAAACTTCTGTTTCCAGTCCTGTGCACGAGAAGTGAACCTGTACCTGGGTGGATTGACAACCTGTACGGACCCACGGGGGCTGTGGTGGCCGTCGGTCTTGGGATGCTTCGGACTATGCACATTAATGGGAAGTTCGTGGGAGACATGGTTCCGTGTGACATGGCCGTCAGCGCACTGGTGGCTTCTGCCTGGGATATACAGCAGCGACGAAGGTGAGGGAGTGAAATTAAACGGAACATTAGAAATGTTAGACATAATCTAATAAATACGTGTAATTATACAACAAAATAACTTACTTCTGTGCAAATATTTTATGTTTAAAAATTTAGTAAGGGATGTTATTTGTTTGGCCATTCGTCTCGCTGGCATAAGTTATTACCGCCCAGCAGACACGTTGGAATTTTCTTTTCGTAATGTAAAATGGCTTCTTGGCCCAGCTGTGCTAGCCAAACGGTATTGGCGGCTCTTTTCAAGGCCAACCCAAAAGCACGGACAAACCAAGCAGCCACCTGGGGCTGCACGACTTTTTAGGCGACACATTCTCAGCCCTTTTCCTTTGTTTATTTTCGTCTTTATCTTCTTTGCTTTTAATCTAGTTCAGGATATGGACCAGTGGAGGGCTATTGTGAACAGGGTAATGAGCCTTCGGGTTCCATAAAATGTTGTGAAATTCTTGGACCGCTGCACATCTAGCAAATTCTCAAGAAGGTCTCAACTCCATGAAGTTAGTCAGTTCTTCTTTGCTCTTTGTTAAGTGAAAATAATTTATATTTACTCATATATTTTGTTCGAATAATGATTACCAATTTTATTAATCTCAACATGCTATGCAACAGCGTAAATAAAAAAGTCCCTAAGGATTACAACACTGGAGATGGTATTCGTCACTGGTCAGGAAATTTCGTGTTACTAATTGTGATAGTGTGAACGGAGAAGTTCATGGGGGTTGGCCTAGGCCCACTGGGACTGTAGTGCCAAGGAAAAAAAAATTGTGATAGTGTTTTCTGAAATGTTATCTTCTGTAACTGAAGGGGGCCGAAGTTTCTCGTAATTTGGGGTGGCATGTAGGATTGCGCAGGCCCGCCAAAGTATAAGGATAGTCGGAGTTTGCAGCTGTCCACTCATCCCCATCAAGTACCGACATTAAAAATGTACAAATATGTGATCTCGTAGTTCCTATGTGCCTTAATGTAGTAATTTTATGCAAAAGATAAGCTCACCATTACGCACGCTGACTTCGGGTTTGTTTGCTGCAGATCTGACAACGGAGTGATTCCAATATACAACTACGTGTCTTCTTGCGAGAATCCGATTAGCTGGGGCAACTACATTCACAAGAATATAGAGCACAGTTGGCAGGTACCTTTCGAAAAATCTGTGTGGATGGTGACCCTAACCGAGGCACATATGCATTTCTTGTACAGAATTTATGCACTGTTCATTCACCTTCTGCCGGCATTTGCGATAGACATCGTACTGTTCGGACTAGGACGAAAACCAAGGTATGTTGATTCGTAAGTATTAGAACCAGAATAAATACCCAAAAATTTATCCTGAAAAATAAAGAAATCTAAAGCTATCTCTGTAACAGGCTATGGAGGCCCATAGGGTTATGACACGTTGAGGCTCCCACATCTTGTAGACAATCTGTTCACAGATGGCGCTGAGGTTGTCAGTTTTCTGCACCGGCCGCACTTTACCCACAGGAAGATCCCTGGTACTCATTTCTGTTGGAGGCTATTCTGAAAAATAACATGTGCTTTTTCTTACGATTAAGGATGATGAAGACGTACGAGAAACTGCACAAGTTTACGGGAGTAATATCATATTTCTGCACTCGCCAGTGGAAGTTCTCCAACCAGAATGTGAAGAGAATGTGGAGCGAGATGAGCGAAGAGGACCGAGAGATTTTCGACTTTAATATCGGAAACCTGAACTGGGACAAGTATTTAGGCGAAGGTCTCATGGGTGTCCGTACCTTCGTGCTCAAGGATGACCCCAAGAAACTCCCAGAAGCCATAAAGAAGAGATACAGGTAGATCCACGAGTGTCCTATGCGATTTGTTACACATTTCGTAAGCTTTTCAAAAATATTTCAATATCTAAATACCTTAGAATATAAATAAAAAAGATAAACAATAACACAAACATAAGGTAGTGATGAAATGAGGAAAATTTTCATAAATATTTTTGGCTTAAAATTTGAGGCTAAGTGTATGAATAACAAGTTCCCATTCGTGTGTTGCAGGTTGTACTGGCTACATCAGTGCCTCAAATTCACGCTGGTTTGCCTATTTCTGTGGCCGTGTTGGCTGACCGCTAGGTACTTCTTTCGGTTGGTGGGAGGGACTGCCACAGTCGGCAAAAAATTCATACTCTGAACAAACGCCTGCCCCTTGCATTGTACAAAGTCGCTGAATTTTGGTTTGGTGCATGTCTAAACCGAACTTAATCTCCTACAGAAAAGAAATACATGAATGAAATCAGTACACTGGTGAGATATATTTTTAATTTGTTAAATTATTTTGACCAAATATAAAATAAAGTTTTAATACTTGGCAGACATAAATGAAGAGTCAAACTGAATTTGCAAATAAGATCTAAAAGTTTGTGACAGAAGTGTATTAATACAGCTATTGTGTTTCTGGGCATTATCCATTGTCCTGTTTATATTTAAAACACAACGTTTCGGAGACTGCATTCTGTGTCCGTCTGTTGATAGGGACAAGCTATATCGATTGGGTCCAAGTGAGTATGTTCCAGCTGAAGATGGAAACAGAATCCAGTCTTCGAAACGTTGTATTTTAAATAAAAACAGGACGATGAATACTGCCCAGAAACACAATGGTTTGTACAATTTGTACAATTATTTTTGTATTAATATTTTACTTGTTTTAAAATAAAAGATGATTCTATCTGGACACGTTTAAGTTTATATGGTGGTCTGACCCACAAGACCTGTGGAACGTGCTCGGGAACTGAAAGCTTGTACAAGTAGTTAGGAGCCCCACTGTTAAATAAACCAAGCAGATAAATTACGTTTATAGAAACTACGGAAGCTCTGAGCATGAAGTGTAACGAATGGGATATGAAAGACTTGTTGATACATTATCGCGTTATATTTTCCCCCTACCTCTTTTTATAGTCAGAAGTTTATGAAACTTTGTTTTAAATAAGTAATTTCAGTCAGACATACAAATAACATGCATTATTGTGCGTCGTTGGGGTGTGTTACCTCACACACATTTATCCATTTTTTTATTGCTAGTGGGGTGGGACCAAGTCCCTTGTACTGCGGCCACTTCTGGCCTATTGTACCAGCCCCAGATGATAGGTGAGGGTGATTGTGGAGCAGTTGGTGGAATGAAGATTGGCAGGGAAACCGAAGCACTCGGAGAAAACCTGCCCCAGCGCCACTTTGTCCACCACAAATTCCACTTGACCAGACCCGGGATCGAACCCGGGCCGCCGCGGTGGGAAGCCAGCGGCTAACCGCTTGAGCTATGGCGCGGCCCTCGTTTATCCAGAACATACGAGTACAAGTACAAAACTTATATAGTATATGCGCACTGCTCATAGAAATACATTCAGCATTGTAACTTTAGTGAGATATCGCTCTTGGCGGTGGCTCCTGTGTTGCACATATGTACCTGCGGTCTCTTTCGCTGCCCTTATAAGAGAAACACAGTCAATTCGCTACCCTGTAATTATTCCGAATGGTAAATATTTTAGTAAGCTCTAATAAGAAAGTTGTTCTGGAGTGTCACTAATTAGTTGGTTTACCTATCTATGGCTCTAAGGTCCTTCCGTGGACCATGGCCGCATTTTCAGTTTCTTGATCTTTTACACAGTCGTTAAGACTCCTTGGAAAGGGGATCAGCCCGTCGCAAGGCCGCTACCTAAACACAAAATAAACGCGCACAGACATCCATGTATCAAGTGGGATGCGAAGCCACGATCCCAGTGTTTGAGGGTGCGAAGACAGTTCATGTCTTACACAGCGCGGCCAGTGTGATCGGCTAATTAGTTGGTTTTTAGTGAATCGATATATTTTATTTATTACTTATGAGGTGTTCGTGGCGGTCACTATGAAGATTAGTGTCTTCTGGGCTGGGCGATGTTATAAAGTCTCAAGGAGAACTCAGGTCAATGGAGTGAGTAATTTTATTGCTTAAGTTTGAGAGGTAAAGAAAAACGTTCGAAGTAATCCCTACACAGATCATTTTGAAACTGAGAAGTTACACACATTTGTCAAATTAAATAATCGCAATGAGAAAATATTCCCTCTAGGGCTATCTGAAGGCCCTTCCTACATAAGAAGGTCATTATGTCCTTTCGCCTGTATATAAAGGTTTGTTTTGTCTGGAATTTGACCTCTCCATGTTCCTCGTTTGCATTCTTCGAGTGTTTCTTCATGCTAATTCATTACAAAATTTACTAGATACACATCTGCTATTTCCACTGCTTTTGGAATTCGGTAAGTGCATCAAGGATTGAATCTAGAATCCCAATTCCATCCTTCTTGAGATTGCATACTGTTTAAGGGCACGTAGTCGAATTGTCAGAATCGATAGATCCTTCAGAATTTCGAGTCTCTATTTGCTCGCACGTTTTTAGCAGAGAATCACTTCTCCAAAGCGGGAAGAATTTTTATTATGATAATATCTAAGAGTGCATTTCGAATTACTTTGTTTACTTTCTACTGAATATTTTAGCTCTACAGTAAAAGCACGAAAGTCTCCTCTCTACATATTTCTAATGAAGTGAGTGCTCAATTGATCTGAAGTGGTCAAAGATTGCAAATAATGCTGTATTTACATACACTGTATGACAATGGAGGCCGTTCAACTCCAGTGTCTGAAGTCATTTCCCCCTTACTGCTTAATCAGCTTCTCACTGCTCCCACTCTGTTCGGCCGTGAGTTCGGCTAACATAAATATTGAATGTACAGTGTGTTCACAAAGTCCCGTCGCGGTTTTGAAAAAATTTGGCGCGCAAACAAATTGGGCTAGCCACATGCGGTTTGCGGCACATCATAGTGAAACTCTGGAAGTGTTTTACTGACCTCAGTAGACCTCGATGTGTGCTCCCTTGGTAGCACGGAGAACGTCAAGTCGATATTCGAGCTCTTTCCATGTTGTGTGGAGGAAGTCCGCTGGAATAGCCGAGATCCCGTTCCTTATACGGTCTTCAGGTTGAGCACTTACAGCCACGCATCATTCTGCAACAAGATGGTGCTCGACCTCATTGGGTTCTGCAGGTACGCGCGTTCCTAGGCAGGACATTTCCAGGAAGATGGATCGGCACAGACGGTCCAATGCCTTGGCCTCCACGTTCACCAGATATAACACCACTGGATTTTTTCCTGTGGAGTTATGTCAAGAGCAGTGTGTTCCGAACACCAGTTAACGGACTTGATGACCTGAAGACCCGTATCAGGAATGCGATCTCGGCTATTCCAGCGGATATGCTTCACAGAACATGGCAAGAGCTCGGATATCGTCTGGACGTTCTCCGTGCTACCAAAGGAGCCCACACCGAGATGTATTGAACTCAGTAAAAACTTCCGGAATTTCACTATGATCTGCCGCAAACCGCACGTGTCTAGCTCAATTTGTCTGTGCGCCACAATTTTTCAAAACACCGACGGGACTTTATGGACACACTGTACTTTGAGGGGACTTCACAACCTCCAGTTCTAATGTGCCAGGCAGCTTTGTGGGATTGTATGGGTATATCAGGAATGCCAGCTTTGGAAGAAAGTTGCATATTAGTTATACCCATTTTTGTCACACAATCAGTACTCCTATCTGGGAACTTCCCGCAGGATCACCGTCCATCTCGGTGATAAAACTTAGGTTAGTTTCATTTGGATTCGTTCAACTGAATTTCGTTTTCATTCGATTGTTTCTGTTCTTTTTTCATTTAGGTTTGCTTCGGTCTGTTTCGGTTCGAATTTTTGTTTAGTTTATTTTGTTCCATTGTTGGTTCACTTTGGTTGTCTCAGTATGAACTTCTATGTCGGTGATAAAAGTTGCCTTAGGTTAACATAGCGTTAGTTAAGTTTATATTTCGGTTTGGTTCTAAATGGCTTAGTTTGTTTGATTCGATTTTGGCTTTGTTTTAGGGTTCTTTTTCTTTTGATCTCGATTTCCTTTTGTCATTCCATTTCATTTGATGTGATATAATCCTTTTGTTATATGTGGCTTGCTCTTCTTGAGAATTTTTACTTACGTGTGTTTCCTGCATTGTTCATACGTTTTCCTAACTTGACCTTGAAAGACATTGCTCAGATTTACTGCAGAAGTGAGCAGTTTAGTTCTGTAGTTTAATGTGACCATATATCAATGCTCTTTTCCTTACACAAACTTTAAAGTTTGCAGTAATTAGCTATGCTTTACAGTAAATGTGAATGTGCAGTGTGACAGGGGAGAATAAACTCTGCAATGCCCTAACAAGGGCAATGGATTTATGTAAGTAATGACTATTTACAAACCTAGTCTTAGTTTGGCTTCTGCCAAATAGCCTCTTCGTATTGGGACAGTTCAGAAATTTCGTTCCTCTTGTTGGATTGCCTTTTGTGCTGTCATATCCTTCCATGCTCCCTGAGCTAACTTCTAGGTTCGTTTCACGTTTATAGTTCCGCTATGTAAGCTAATGAAAATGACCGCGCGGTTTAGGGCATGAACTGTCTTCACCCGCTCGAACACTGGGATCGTGGTTTCGAATCTTACTCGAGGCATAGATGTCTGTGTGCGTTCATTCTATGTTTCTGTTGTTCTGTGTGTAGGTAGCGGCCATGCGACTGGCTGACTCCCCATCCAAGGGGTTCTACCAACTGTGCAAAATATCAAGAAACTGAAAAAGCGGCCCATAAGAATTGTAGGGCCGTAGAGAGATACTTCCTCAGTATCTGTACTGACGTCACGAAACCAGAAATGTATTGTCACGTGTCCGAGGTTCCGTGACAAATAATTGTGGGTTTCGGATTAGACGAAGCGATTTTATTGGATAACTCGTCTACAATTACAATTTCAGTCACTCTGAAATAGCGTCTTCCAGACGATGCGACCTGACTAGTCTGTCGTCTTTCACGTTTCGTCTTCTAGTTCTTGGCTGAGCTGGTTTCTCCTTAGCTCTGCTCCGTTCGCCACTGATCTCATCTCCGCTCCAGTCTTCTCTGATCTCATCTGTTCTCAAAGTCAAAGTGAAAGTCACATTACGACTGACGATCAGCCAGTAAGTCTTGGTGTCGATAGTTCCGCTATGTAAGCTAATGAAAATGACCGCGCGGTTTAGGGCATGAACTGTCTTCACCCGCTCGAACACTGGGATCGTGGTTTCGAATCTTACTCGAGGCATAGATGTCTGTGTGCGTTTATTCTATGTTTCTGTTGTTCTGTGTGTAGGTAGCGGCCTTGCGACTGGCTGACTCCCCATCCAAGGGGTTCTACCAACTGTGCAAAATATCAAGAAACTGAAAAAGCGGCCCATAAGAATTGTAGGGCCGTAGAGAGATACTTCCTCAGTATCTGTACTGACGTCACGAAACCAGAAATGTATTGTCACGTGTCCGAGGTTCCGTGACAAATAATTGTGGGTTTCGGATTAGACGAAGCGATTTTATTGGATAACTCGTCTACAATTACAATTTCAGTCACTCTGAAATAGCGTCTTCCAGACGATGCGACCTGACTAGTCTGTCGTCTTTCACGTTTCGTCTTCTAGTTCTTGGCTGAGCTGGTTTCTCCTTAGCTCTGCTCCGTTCGCCACTGATCTCATCTCCGCTCCAGTCTTCTCTGATCTCATCTGTTCTCAAAGTCAAAGTGAAAGTCACATTACGACTGACGGTCAGCCAGTAAGTCTTGGTGTCGAGCCCGGTCTGGGGCTCATGACCAAATATTTATTTCTCTTTGACAGA